CTGTGCAAAGTCCCAACTTGATTTAGGAATGGCTTCTTTGCATTAATGACACTCTTCCTTCTGATGATGTGGGATTGATGATGATATTATTATGGTGAATCTGGTTTAATAGGAATAAGGCACGACTGGAGGAGGCCATCCAATCTCCTGCATAGATCATGAACTTCTCTAATTCTTATCTTAGTCATTTCTTGGAGTTTCAAGGACAGATGTTAGAAGCCTCTTGATTCATTTGAAGTTGTGAATTGTCAATGGTGAACTCCTTAATCAGGGTTTATAAAGATTAATTGTGTGAGATCTCATATTTCATATAAATATAAATGATATTGACTAGATAGTACTTTTAAAATGATTAAAATGTAAGGCCCTATATAAAATTAAATAAGGATAATATTATCTTAAGAGTTCTTCTAAGATGAACAAACTAATGATAGAAACTTAGAATCATTGTTGAAAGATTTATTATAAAGTTTGAGTTTCGTGTATATTTACGTTCGGGTAAATTTGGGTTTTGGAGATGTTTAAATTTGACAAGAGTGGTTAAGTAATTTTATAAATATTTTTAGGTTAAAATAAGGTTTTCATTGAATTCGTAAGGTCAAGAAACATTGGGAAAGGTAATATGGGGTGTATTAGAAGTTAGGAATTATTTCAGAGTTAAAACCTATTTTGGAAAGGATTTGGGTAGAAATGAATTTGATATAACTTTAGTATTTTGGCTATAAATTTGTATCTCAATGTCCGATTGAACTGAGATTTTTACCTTAAAAATTAGATTTCAAGATCTACAAAAGTGTATTTCACAAAAATTTCGTGAATCGATGTCTAACTAGGTCAAAATCGAGCTAGAAATCAGGGATAAACTACTACCCACTCCCAAACAGGAATTCTCTATTGTTTTAGCCTATAAATACTATAGGGTTGCAATTTAGATTGTCTTTACCTACCTTTTCAACCCTAAGAACCCTACAAAAGTTTGAGGAGAAGAAAAGGAGGAAGAACAAACTGAATCTTGAAAGATTAACAAGTGGTAATCGCAACAAAATATGTTAGGATTAAGATCTCTGGAATCAAGGTAGGAGTTTCTTCCTAAACTTGTTCATTGAGGATAGGAATGATGTTATTGTTTGATACCCATAAAAACTCTTGTTCTTGTTATCAAAATCCTATTTTTCAAGAAATATAGATTTTACCTTGATATTTCATTGTTCTTGATTTAAAAATTCTAATGTTTTGTTTTAACAATAAAATTATATTTCTTGATGATCTCTTGCATATTTCCTTGAGTTGTTATGTTGGAAAAATACCTGTGAAATTATGGTTCTTGATTTACTTGTAATTTGGTGAATTGGTTTGGTATTGTATCTCTTATGTGGATGTTTTGATGAACATGAGTAACTGTTGACCGGGTATCGTAGAGTGGGTAGATGAGTTTCTTAATCCGAGTGGTTTTGAAGGTTCTTTACTACTCGTTGTGAGGTTGGTGCCTTGCGAGGACCAAACTACTATTCGCTCATGGGTATCGAGTTTGAGGGCTAGTATACTATTCTTAGGAAAGGATACGTCAATGCTGACACATTGGTACACGTCCTTCCTAAAGTGTTGTAAATATTGTGGCCATGTAGGTATTGATTTGAGATGGTTTGTGTTGTGGGTGGACAAGATAGGTTCGGTGTGTAGATTCACAGTAGTCTACCAACATACATGAGATATTATGTTATGAATTGTGATTTTTGTGAATGATTCTATTATATTATGAACTTTACTGTTTTATACCGTAAACTTGAGATCTCATTAAATGTCATTGTTTTACTTCAAAATTATATATATTATTTTACAAACTGTGACTTACCTATGTTCATGATTTCTAAACCTTGTTTGGGTTTGAGAAGGTTTTCCTATTGTGTTTTATTGCTCACCCTACCATAACAGTAGATTTTAGTGTTGAGGAGAATTCAAAGTTATATGAGCCGGTAGATTGTGATGCTGAGGAGGATAATGATGTGGATCTAACAATGGAAGTTTAAGAATGAATTTTAGTCTCTAGAGTTTATATTTGATGATTTACTTATGTTAAGAATTTACTTATGTTTTCTTTAGGGATTTATCTAATCTGATGTTGGATTATGAATGATTTTATTTATTTAATGGTAATTTAGTATGCTCTTATAATTGGATGTTGTATAGATATTTAATTTCTTCCAGGGTGAATTTTGAGACGTTACATAAAATTATAAAATAAATTTTGAATCATTGTTAAATGAATAGTCGCATAAGTTTGAGCCACATGCGTATTGACTTTTGCTGTCAAATTGTATTTTTGAGCTATTTAAGGTTGATAAGGGTAATTAAGTAATTTTATTAATTTTTTTGTGTCAAAATAACATTATCATTAAATCCGGGAGGTCTAAAAACTTTAAAATAGACGTTTAGCTCATATAGTGGTTCAAAGGGGTAAAAAATTATAAATTTGACATTTTTGGTATAATTTGGCTTGAATTTTTATAGAACTCATAAAAATAAATTTGTTTAGCCTAAAATAACATTAAAAATGAATATGAAACGTCGAAAAGCCTTAGGGTAGTCATGCGGATCCAATTGGAGAAGTTTTGGGGTAAAATCATAATTTTTGAGAAAATACATTTTTTTGGTCTTGTGAACATTACCCGGTGCGAATTTCAGCTCTTATAACCCAATTTTCACCTCCATGTCTCTCATTTTTCTCACACCTCTCACCCAATACTACTTCATAAACCTTAGAATTAGAGAGAGAACGAGAAAGGAAGAGAGAAGAAGGTCATTAGGGCTTGGACTTTTGCTAGAAAACTTAGGAACATTATTTGAGATTCTTGAATTCACTTGAAGATTTGAAGGTGGAGCTTGGGTTCTTGGGTTTTGAGGTAGGGTTTTTCTTTCTCTTGCATATACATTGATGCATCTTATGTATGTTCTATACCTATTTGTTTAGTATGAGAAAAATACATGCTATGAGTCTTAATTAAATGATAAGTTTACTATGAATTTGTAAACATACATGCATTAAATAAATTTGGGAATTGTGGGTTTGAAACCCTAACTTGATTTTTGTTATGGGTGTTTGATTGAACTTAAAATTTTGGATTCTTTAGAATATATGTGATTTTGAATATAATATATTTCCTTTGTCTCTTGTGAATGAGTATGTTCTTTTGCAAATGTGTATTTGGAGATTTTATGTCTATCATGTATTTGATACAATGTCAAAGAGACTATAAGTATTGAAATGATAAATTGTGGAAAGAGGTATTGATTTTTATGATATGATTGAGTATATTTTACCATGATTTAGGGTATTGGTGAGATATTTTAAGTATGAAAAGGGTGGTATTGATCTATATAATTTCTCAATCATTTAATTTGCGAAATTTACTATAAAAAAGTACAAATTATATTTTTGGTGTGTATGTGAGTTATTTTGAAGATGTGTTATGTTGGAAATAGAAATGTGAGATTTTCTAAAATTATGTATTTTTTTAAAAGTGTCAAAGTTGTGGTTGATGTTAGAAATGGAAGGTGATTATGAAATTATGGTTTGAAACTTATATGCTCGATATTGATAGGCAGAGGATTAGTAAACGGTTGATGCCCTTGAGGGGGGTTACCAAAGCGACTACTAGTCCTAGGGGAGATTGGTGATGGTAGTAGTTTTCGGTGACAACTTGTGTGGTATCACAAGTTGTGCCCTACAAATCCCCCCGGAAAAGCAAGAAGGGCAATGAAACCCTAGGATACAAGACTCAAAAGGTTCCCCGGGGATGGTTTATTTGTGAACCGGTGTTGGTTTGATGATATCTGTCCATATAGGTAGCATACAAGAATTTTGGGTGCTAAGAAACCAATAGACAATATTCCAACAAATATCTTGAGTGGGGTGAGGTAAGGTGAGGTTGAGGTGAAAGTACATAGAGTTAATATTATTGAAAAATATCCTAGAAAGAACAAGTTTATGGAATTGCGTTCAAAATAAGAATGATTACTTTACTAGATTTATTATACATATATTTGTATAAAGATTTCTTACTTCGTACTTTATGAAATCAATGGTGTTGCATTATGTTTTAAGAAGAAATGTTTTATAGGGTAGCTTGAGATTTGATTTTGTTGTGGTAAATTCCTTGATATTTCACTTATGTATTTCAAATGATAGTACTTAGTGTCCTTTCAAAAATGCTTACTACTTATCGTGTACTTAGACTTATTGATAAATTATTTCATTACCTATCATTATGATTGTGAACTGTTGTTATTTAAAACCTTGTATATACTTGAGAAAAGAATTATCCTATTGAGCGTGTGGTTGCTCACCCCTATCATTTAACATTTTCAGTTATAGACATATATTGGTGGACTGCATAGTGGGAGTATCGAGGCAGAAGATAGATGTTATGACATTATATATTTAGTTAGAGTATGTAAAGAATAATGTACGCTGATGTATATTATTGATGATTTGTAAGTGATTTATATCTTGGTTAATTTGAGGGAATATGTATAGATTGAGACCTTTTAAATGGTTTACTTATAAAAATTTAGATATTCTATATATTATGTTCATGACAGAGAATTTTGGATAATTAGATTACAACTCGGATTTGGGAGAACTGTGTAGGCTTCCATTTGTTACCCTGGTTTTGAAAAGTAATGATTTATTTGTAGATGTCATCAGAAGTGATGTTTATGGTTGATATGAAGTGAATGACTAGTCGGGTATAATTATTATGTTTAATTCTCTCACAGGTAGCTCTCACCAATTATCTAGATGCCCGATTTTCAAAGAAAACTCTACCAAAATTTTCAAAAAAAAAATTTATTTAAAATAAAGACATACTTTTCTAGATACTTTTACAACAAATCGGCATGTGTTTTTAGAATCAACAAAGTATTTTTTTGTTAATCACGCTTTTGTGAAATTTGGGGCGTGACAAATTGTGATGTGCTATTGTTACACTTATTCTAAATTAATGGGTGTGGGAGTCGTTGCAAGAGATTGCAACGGAGATTTTGTAGCGGGATTGGGTAAACTTGTATGTAATCCTCTAAGTGAAAAACATGTCGAAGCTATGGCAGCATTTACTGGGATCAAACTAGTTATGGAATTGGGTTTTAACAAGGTTATCTTGGAAGAAGATTCAACGAATAACATTGAGGCGATTCACCTGAGAGGATCAAATCTCTCTAATGTTGAGATTTTTGTTGATCAGGTCCATATTCAAGCGAATCGATTAACTGATTTCTCGGCCAAATGGATTAGACGACAGGAAAACTTTGTGGCCAATGCATTAACTAAATATACTGATATTTGTAAGGAGGTGAGAAATAGGAGGAATATATGTCCTGATTTTTTGTATCCTCTCTTTTGCAAGGAGAGAGTTCAATGTTGATGACATAAATCTTCTGTCGTTTCTTATAAAAAAAGTATTATTATTAAAAGCACCAAATTTTTATTTTTTTTCCGACAATCGAAAGCATCTCAAAGCGCTTGTCAAAAAGCAATGCACTCACGTCCCTTTTGTCAAGTTCAATAGCACGAACCCCACATATTTCTCTCACAATTATAAATAACATTATCCATTTAGATATGCACCTCAAATCTTAGAGCTATGGTAAGGGGTAAGGAATTTCTTACTAGTGACAATAGTATAAAAATCGTCACTTCAAAATCAGAATAGTGTGCAAATGCCTCAAACTTACAAGCCATAACAGCTAGACAACACTTGACAATCTTCACAACACCATACCCACACATGCAACAATTTATTGGATAGTTTTATAATTAAATCTCAATAGTTAATGATGTTTTAGATAAAATTACATGTCCAATACTCATGAATCCAAATTAGAGTTGATAACTGGTATTTCCATTGCACAAAGTTCGCTAAATCCAGCCTTAATGAAATGATATTGCATATATTAGACAAAAGATAAATTGGAGTCTAAGATAGAGTGGTTGTGGACTGAATAAAAGAAGAATAAGAAGAAGAAGAAGAAGATGATGATGATGATGATGAATTTTGAGTAGCTATTGGAGAGACAATGGTCTCTTACAGTGGCTCTAATGCCATGATAGAAATGAGAGAGATAAAGAGAGAGAGAGATCATAGCAGAATTTATATTTTCACTTCGCGCCATTTGCATTCCACATTCTTTGTATTTATATACAAAAATTCACAAGTGGCATGTGTAGTTCTAACTAATCCTAATTGTTTACGTTACGGCTGTCATTCTCAACCAATCACATGTTATAACATAATTTGTTAGTGGAGTTAGTTGATGTTAATTGAGCTGAATGAGAAATGGAATGTTTGCTTTCTACAGTTCAAAAGCTTGAGGCTTGGATGTTTGATCATCATGACATGGCTTGATAGGGAAGGGGTAAGGGGTGGTGGAATGGGATAGGCAGAGTTCAGCAATGATGGAGTGGGTGAGGAGGTGGTGGTGGTTTGTTCCCATTGGGGATCACTATTTTCCCCTAGCTATTTATTTCAATCATAGAGGCAACATACAAACTTGAGGCTAACCATGGTGCTTATATTTTTCCTAATTTGACTCCCAGTAAAACATGTGAACGACATGTGTTAAGAGACGAACGAAAATTTAATGGCACTGAGGAATTGACGATGCAATAGATAAATCTATCTTTTAAGGTGTAATTTGAGAATTTGTAACACTTTCATTGTACAAAGTGTTATATTCTCTTTTAGTAAATGGTAAATCTTATGAGTTGAAGCTAATGGTGTATTTCAATGTGATGCAATTTTGTGATGACAAGTAAATGAAAGAAACAATATTAGAATTATTGGGATCTAAGCTACTATACTCGAGGGAATGATACTGAGAATTATTGGGGAGTTGAGGAATTAACACAGTAGAAATATAGTGGTTCACCAGCTCGGGAGCTCGGCTAATCCACTCTTCAATGGAGATTCTTGCTCCTTCCTTCACTATTTACTATGACAAAAGGTTTACAGAATGTAAGGTGTGATACTAGGGTTCCGCCCCTCTGTCGAGGGCGTTATATAATATTTATAGGGCTTTTCCTAATTCTGCGGGATCCACCCCGAGATCTTCACCATTTATTTGAGGAATCCTCCTTGATCTTAGGAGGAGATTTTTCCTGGATGAGAGTTTTATGCTTCGATTATGACTATTTGCTGCCTCTAGGGTTTTTGTTGACAAATAGCTATCTTTTTACTACTTCCGCTGCTCCTTCGATTGGGCTGGGCTTTACTATAGTTTTATGAGCTCTATGCGTCTGACCTCTGCTCCCGAGCTCATACTTGGGAATTGCTCTAAGTATCATCAGTTGCCCCCCAGCTCTTGGTCAAACTGGCTTGGGCAAGGGCTGAGCTTAAGATGTAGCAAAATGGTTTCCTAATCAGCGACTTTGAAGTTTGCACGGGAATTATTTATTTATTTTTTTTGCATGTAGGTGCTCCTGAACTGAACCTACTTGAATTGATGAGGGTGGAACAAATGACCCAAGCTGAGCCCATGTCTTTTCCTGATCTCATGACGCCAGATAATCTGTTATTGTTTAGCGCCACTGCAGCTAAACGGGACTTTCCTTTTTTTTCCTGAATCTAATCTCCTTTCTACCGGGTCTGATGAGAGCGAGGATGTTGGGACTCATATCAAGAAATGCGAGAGGGATGGTTCATCCTTTCCTTCATCCAGATCTTTCCTGGGGGAAGTTCTATTTTCCTCTGTTGGGCAAAAATTAATGGATCTACTGTCAGCAACTGAGAAGGAGAGGGATGAGCTGAAGGAGGAGAACCTGTGTTTGAAAGAGAGGATAGCTGAACTGCAGAGACGACTATGAATTTTTCTTTGATTGGTTTCTTTTTTGTAATCTTTGATGTTCTTGAAACCTTGATTTTCCCTTCCATGTTTGCTGCTTCTTATACACAATTTGTGGCTTTGAGAATCTGGCAGCTGATCTTCTATGTCGTTTCCTGGTTTATGGACCAAAGACCCCCATTTTTCCTATTTGTAATGGATAGAAGCTGTGAAGCTTTCCTTCTAGTCTACGTGTTGCAGGTCTTGCTTTTAGTTCTTCTGGACCGGGAAGCGCATTCTGAGCAGATGCGTTTGCTTTAGGGACAGAAGAACTCGTCCTGAGCTACTGAGCTATTTTTATGGATTGATATGTTCGACGTGAGCTTCAGGGCTCTTTTTATGAACTAACGAGTTCATTGTAAGCTCTAAGGCTCTTATTACGGACTAACGAGTTCGCCGTGAGCTCCAGGGCTCCTTTTATGAACTAACGAGTTTGTCATGAACTCTAAGGTTCTTTTTATGAACTAACGAGTTCGTCGTGAGCTCCAGGGCTTTTTCTATGAACTAACGAGTTCATTGTGAGCTCTAAGACTCTTTTTATGAACTAACGAGTTCATCGTGAGCTCTAAGGCTCTTATTACAGACTAATGAGTTCGTCGTGAGCTCCAAGGCTCTTTTTATGAACTAACGAGTTCATCGTGAGCTCTAGGACTCTTTTTATGAACTAATGAGTTCATCGTGAGCTCTAAGGCTTTTATTACGGACTAATGAGTTCGTCGTGAGCTCCAGGGCTCTTTTTATGAACTAACGAGTTCATCGTGAGCTTTAAGGCTCTTATTACGGACTAATGAGTTCGTCGTGAGCTCCCGAGCTCTTTTTATGAATTAACAAGTTCATCGTGAGCTCTAAGGCTCTTATTACGGACTAATGAGTTCGTTGTGAGCTCCTGGGCTCTTCGTAAAAGTAAATGAACCACAAACTTGCTACTTTATTAATAATCGTATTACATGACAAACTTATTGAAAAAATTTCCTAAGATGTTCTGCATTCTATGAGTGGGGTAAAATTTTCGCCGGGTCTGCTTTCATTCGAGGTGGCCACCTTAGGAATTTTTTATTTTGTACCTCATAAAAGATTTGTGATACTTGTTGCAGTGAGTGGAGGGACCTGCCGAGGTGCGTACCTCGGCTGTAATTTTGGATGAGGTGGTCCTAAGCGATCTCTGATGTTTCCCCTTCTTTTGGAGGATCGATCTCTGTCTCTCCTTGGGGACCTATCTCGTCCTCTTTCTCTTCTGGGACTTCGATCCCTCTTTTTCTCTTCTTTCCCTTTGTCTTTTTGCATGGATGAGCTCCCCATTTTTGAGAGGAGAGCTTCTTCACCGTTTATGTACTTTTTTACCTTGGCCAGTACTTCGGCCAGTACTTCGGCCATGCTGGCCTGGGGTTTTTTTGAAATAGTGAACATCAAGTCTTCAGATTGTACGCCTAAACCAGCTATGAATGCAGTAATGACAAATTTCTCGTCTGTGACATCCACTTTTAGTGATTCAGAGTTGAACCTCTGAACATAGGATCTGAGGTTCTCTTGGGATCCCTGTTTCACATTCAACAGGTGGTAACTCGACTTTTTGTACGTTTGAGCTCCTATGAAATGAGATACAAAGGATATGGATAGCTCCTTAAAGGAGAAAATTGAGGTAGGGGGAGCCTATTGAACCACGCCAGGGTTGAGCCTTCAGTGTGATGGCAAAGGCTCTGCAGCGCACTGGATCCTGGTATCCATGCAACTCCATCTGGTTCTTATAAGTGTTGAGGTGATCTACCAGATCCTTTGTTCCATCAAAAGCCTCTATCTACGGTACTCTGAATTTCGGAGGGAGGGGAAAATGCAGCACGCCAGTGGTGAACGGAGATTCAGTCTGTTGTACCAAGGCATCCATCGTAACTAGAGCCTTACCTCTTACGGCTTCCTTCATGTGTCTGAGTTCTTGCTGGATACCCTGGAAGCGTTGCTCCCTGTACCGTTCTCTCCTTTCCTATTGATAGGGGAAAAATTGTTCTTCTCGCCCCCGTCATTCTGACTTTGTACTTCTCCGTTGTGTCCATTCCTAGGGGGTATGCGAGGTTCTGGCCCCATGGTTTGGCTGTTTTCTCCTTCTTCGTTGACTTCCCTGAGGGGGTCGAGGTGTGGTTGCTCCCTAGGTGGTGGGTTGTTCTGGCTTTCTTGAGTTTGTCGCGCCTCCTCTGGGCGTTGTAAGAGCTTTAAGAGTTCTTCGTTTTGTTTTAGCAAGCGTTGATTGACGAGGTGAAGGGCCTCCATCTCGTTATTCATGGGGAGACCCCCCACGGGTGGATTGGTCTCTTGGACATTCTCAGGTTGTCTGCTATTAATACCTTCTTGTTGATCTTGCATTCGTGGTGAATTTGTCTGACTTCGGCTCATGTTTCGCGTTGATACCACCAGTCACTGAAAGATCAGTTTATTTATAATAGACCACAGACGGCGTCAAACTGATGGTGTATTTCAACGTGATGCAATTTTGTGATGACGAGTAAATGAAAGAAACAATATTGGAATTATTGGAATCTAAACTACTAGACTCGAGGGAATGATACTGAGAATTGTTGGGGAGTTGAGGAATTAACACAGTAGAAATATAGTGGTTCACCAGCTCGGGAGCTCTGCTAATCCACTCTTCAATGGAGATTCTTGCTCCTTCCTTCACTATTTACTATGACAAAAGATTTACAGAATGTAAAATGTGATACTAGAATTCTGCCCCTCTGTCGGGGGCGTTACATAGTATTTATAGAGCTTTTCCTAATTCTGCGGGATCCGCCCCGAGATCTTCGCCATTTATCCGAGAAATCCTTCTTGATCTTAGGAGGAGATCTTTCCTGGATGAGAGTTTTATGCTTCGATTATGACTCTTTGCTGCCTCTAGAGTTTTTGTTGACAAATAGCTATCTTTTATTACTTCCGCTGCTCCTTCGATTGGGCTGGGCTTTACTCTAGTTTTATGAGCTCTGTGCGTCTGACCTCCGCTCTCGAGCTCATACTTGGGAATTGCTTTAAGTATCATCAGAAGTCAAAGTTATGTATGGAAACAAGAAGCAAAATGGAACGTTGAGATATTAGATTGCATTTTCCCCCCGGGTTCTGCTCATAATATATTCCTGTAGGGAAAATTTTTGTGGGACCATGCTTCTTTTTGGCATTTTCATCACATTTCTTGCTAAACAAACATCAGGAATGTTTGATTTTTTTCTGCACTTTCCATCACCCCATGCACATCAAAGTGTTCTCAAAGAAAACATAAAAAAACATCTAACATAAAAGCATTTAAAATTTGATTACCCCTACTCTGAAGAGGTAGGACACGGTATATGGATGATAGATTGTTGACTTAGCATACAGTAAGAGTACGAGATTCTAAGTTTGAAATTCACCATCATACCAATAATTATACAGTTTGCACATTCTTTAACCCAAAATCTGGCTTACACATGAAGATGTTTGTTAAAGAATGCAATACATTAAATTTTGTTTCAGCTTTTTTATTAGATTAATAACATGTTTGTTTTAAGGATGTAATTGCATGAAATTGGAGTATTCTT